ACCTCGGAGCATTTGGTGGGTGGGGTTTTACAGGGGTTCAGTGGGAGCAGAATCGAATGAGACTGCAGGGAAATTGCAGATTAGATCGATCGATCGATCGAGGGGGATTAAGGATTTCGAAAATTATCCTAATTTTTGGTCATCATGTACGGGCTTCAAAGAATTTAGGAAGGGTAATGCTATTTTATAATCTGTGATGATATAATAACTATGAATAATTCAATATTCCTTACATTTCTCTCCCATCCCCCTCTCTCGTGAAATTGAATTGTTCATTTCAATATTTCATACAGACTGTCACTTCCGATATTCTATTATTATAATGATAAATAGTATTATTCTTTTATGAAGCGTTCATGAATGCTCAACTAATTAAAGAAAAATAAAAAATAAAGCTATCTAGCATATACTAGAAAATCCATTTATATGACATTAAGTTCAATTAAAAATGAAATCATGTGATGCATCGTACACTTTGTATCATTTAAACTTGCATTGTAATATCAGTAATTTTAAGTAGCATAACTCAATAAAAAAACAAATCCCCTATATTCTTTATTTTTGAAAATAATTATTTTGCTTGAATATCAACGTTCTTAATTTATTTACTAAATTTTTCCAAGTAAAAGTAAATCTCTCAACACATGTAAACTTTCTATATTTTATGAAGGATGCGAACATAGGAATATGCATAAAATTTCAAGAAGATCAGGTACAACTGTATATGCTATCTTCTTTTAGACTTTGCAACAATTGCTACTATGTACTATACCTCGTAATACTTCTTTCATATGAAATAGAAATTGCAAACCACTTCAACTATTGTCCAAGCAAATTCAAAAGCAAAAATTGTTAATAAACATTCAAAACAAAACAAAATATTTACAGTTGAAATTTGGAAAATAAGATTAAAATATCAAAATAGATGATCAGCCTCATTTATAGCTTCCAAAATTAGGTAAAAAATCTTGTCCAAATTGCTTTTCAATTGTTTAAGTTTTCACTCAATAGTAAAAATTTTGGTAGCCATGCCATCGCAGCTTCCCTCTTTGCGATTGTAAGGCTCAAAGTTTTGCCTTTTGTTCAACTTGGTCCCAAACTTCTTTCTTAGGTTCAACTTTAGTTCCCTTCTATTTGCATCATGGATCCTTCATCTTTTAATCTATATAATTCATAATTGTCCCTAATTGATCGGATACAACTTTCAAAGGTTTGTAATTAAGTACTCAAACTTTTCAAATATCGAATTCAACTCTCGAAACTTGTGAGTTTACTCCTACTATTCAAGTGTAAAACATACTCGTTAACTATTTTGTTACCCTAGAAGTACCATTGCCTTCAATCTTCGAATTTTTACAAGAAGCTACCGGATCTATACCACCAACAAAAAGCCAAAATTTCAAGTTATGGAGTTTTTCATAATGCTAGAAAAATTAAAGAAAGGTTTTAGGAGATGTAGAGATAGGTCCCCTAACAACTTCGAAGGTGGTCGTAGATCAGTCACTATTGTTTGTGTGCGTGTGTTTTTAGGTATGTGTATGTGATGGGTAGAAGCAAGAATAAAATTTCACTCAAAAATATTCTTTCATACAAACGGAATACTTTTTCTTCTACCTGTCAAAATGATCAAATAAGTTTTTCCACATCCTATAATAGCTCTTGGCCAATGAAGAGCTTTTCCTTATACATGTAAAAAAATTTCTATCCAATGAAAACTTTTGTTTAACCAAGTTACATTTTGATCAAGTCATGTCCAGACTCCAGCATCTTCATAATTCTAGAGTTTCTTGATGATATTCTAACTTTTCTTGGCACTAGATATTTTTAAACTAACACGTGGTTATTAATACTTTTCATTTATCACGATTAAACTTCATAACTTATTTACTAATAATTTAATATACCACCATAATTAATTTGTTAATTAGACTTATTATTAACTTCAATGTTACTTTTGTAGTTCAATTATCTTGATCTTCTTCTCGTTTATAATCCACATAACTTCAATACACACACCCATATATAAATTCAAATATTACTTCACTAACTTATAAAGTCTTCATCATAACATCTTCATTTCAGTTAAATAAATTATAACTTTTCATTACATTTATTATTTATTTCTTTTATGAAAAATTTATTATCTGCATGCCATTTTTGCCATCCCATTTTTCACATCATCATATCTTAGCATTATAATTTTTTGTAAACTATTAATGCATTTTAAACACTCCATAAAAATACAAAAAATATTCCAATTTCTCTTCTATTTTTAAAATTACCTTTTCCTTTTCTTCTTTCTTAACTATAAAATTAAACGTTTTCACTTTGTTAAAACTTGCTTCCATATATTTTAAACACATAAAACATATAAACAATTGTAAATTCCATTATAATATTTTAAGCAAAATAATAACATTTTAAACGAAGTAAATATAATTTCAATTTTTACCGATTTAATATTTTTGTTTTATTTAGTGCAGACATTAACAAAACAAGTAAATATTACATTAGCTTTTCTAACTTTACCCCATCTACACTCAAATAGTCTGTATAAGTATTCTATAAATACTCTAGCTATATACTTCAAATCGAATTGAGAAGTCAAAATATATATATACAAATAGGCTTGCTCTATAAATCTTCTATACATAGCTGAGCTTAATTCTTCCTTTTTCTCAAATCTGCAATCACAGAAACGTATTACAATTACTACTTACGCCTACTAAAACTTTTTAAGTTTTAACTTCAATTATCTATTGGTAATTTTTTGCATCTTAATTCTACAACTTTTTTCTTCATGTTTTACATTAACATTTCATAACCACAACTTTTTTATACATTAACTTTATTTTCTTGCAAGTTATAGATATCAATAAATGCCTACAACTTACAAATTTATCCCACAAATTACTACATCAGAAATTTATTGTTGTAGGAAAACAAACACCCAAAACTGCACGTAACTCTATAGCTCGATATCAAAATCTCACCTTCATGGATTTGCAGGTAACTACATATAGGGATTTTCCAACTTTTACAGTACTATATATTTCCTATTCATGTGTTCATCTCCTTTTGACATTAACAGGGTAACACAATTACAGCTACCATGTATGATGCTAATATTACAGCCCTTGCTGATCAGTTGACACTCGAAAAGACATACATAATCTCAAACACAACTGTTAAAGATAACAAAAGTGAATTTAGAAGTACATCCGAGGAAAAAAATTGCAGTATAACTGGAAGAACAAAATTTGAAGAGCTCAATGAAAATAACTTAAGACTTTTTGTTTTCCAAATATGAGCTCACTCCATTTCATGCACTAGAACATTATATGGACAACAACACAAATATAAGCAAGAATTTTACTATACAAACTTTATAACGAGTATTTTCATTTAATGTTTCATGAGTATTCTATTTATACTTATATTTAATACATAAAAAATACTTGACACATGTATTTCTTTGTATTCTTGTTGCAAATGTCATTTGTGTTGATATAGAAGTTAGACAAAAAACGAATTATTTAGACTCATTTTGGAACTCAAGTCAGTCTTCAAGATGTCATATTGATAAATAAAAATTTCCAAACGGTGATATTAACTCTATGAGACACTTTTGTTGAAAGAGAGTGCATTGTCATTGTTTAAAACCTACAAACAAAACCAGTAATATGGGCTACAAATCTTAAAGCTTCTTCTTTTAAGAGTAACTTTAACCTCAACGTACTTTTTCATTTAAAATAATATGTCCAGTAAAAAAAAAAACATAATAATTATTATTACTTTTCTTCCTTGCACATACATTACACTCTCTACTAAAGCCAACAACAACATTTTAATTAATCCTGAATCGCTGGCTGTGGAGACTACAAAGAGTGGTATTAAAACATATTTACAAGAGTTTACCTTTACCTCTTTTCTACCAGAAAACAACAACATACTATATTTTTATATCTGTATATAATTGTCTAATTGTTTTTCACATGGTATTAACCAATAAGGAAAACCTTGACCAACTTACAGACGAGAACTCATTTATTCATATGAGTCCACCGAAGCTATCGCCCCCTACAGACAATAAATTCACATCAATTGGTGAATTGCTAGGAGTTTTTTTAGAGGGTTTCTCTAAATTCGTTTATCAAATATACATAACATACGTACATTTTCACTATTAATGCACCAATTTTTTTTCCTTGCCTATATTCATAATTTAATAACACATACATTTTTGTAACAGTAAAAAAATTATTGGACCAAGGCCCGTTCAACATTTATTACAACACAAAAGAGATTTTGGTATATGTCCTACACTAACTGCAAGAAAACGTCGACTGCAGACTTAGGATAAATTCATAAATGTCGCTTCTGCGAATATGAGCATACAAGAGCTAAACCCTGGTATATTGAACTATGAAACATATATTTACATATATACTAATGCTAATATCATTTAAACAATACAATGTACCTAATTCAAACCAATTTATCTCCAGAGCTAATGCTTTTGTGCGACTTGAAGACAAAACTGGACATTTGGATGCAAGCATCATTGGTGAGGTAGGAGCGGCTTTATTGAAAACCAATGTCAATACTATAATGGAACATTAATTTCCACCGGGTAAATCCCAAATACTAGCATTCTTTAAGAATACTTTTTCCAACACACGGATATACTAACGAAATACATTATAACTGTCACAAAATTCAGATACGGTGGTGAAGAATCTTGCTCAAACTAATAGCGAAATAGAGTTGCTATTCTATCTAAAAACCAGTAAAAAAAAAGGATTCACCTAAGTACCGTTATGAAATAATCTTTGTATTCAATCTTATAACATCAATTACTGATAATGATTCCTCAAAAACAATGACCGAAGTAAATCCTTCAGCCAGTTATGTAGAAAAATCAATTGAAACAAACATCAATTCAGACGAAGCAGACAAAAGAGGCAAACACAAGATGCACAACACGGATGTTGACTTTTCCACATCCATAAAAGAGATCCCCAAACTTCACACAAAAAAGACCTCTTTTCCAAACACGAGTTGAGAACATCGAAGCGAAATCTACCAAAAAATATAAAGGTGCTAAAGTTTCTGATGACCACACCAATACACCCACTTTGGAAAGACGACATGAATGATGAAACGTCTACATTACTTTTATACTATAAGCAATTGCATAGTATATCTTTTTCATATGTTTTAGAAAAACTATCCCCATCTGTCTA